GGCCACGGCGTCCTTGGCCACGGCTCCTCCCCCCGCGCCTCACCTGGTGAAGTTGATGTAGGCGAAGGACTGCATGAGCGCCGTCGGCGCGAGAAGGACGACGCGTTGCCCCCAGGTCGCGCTGGGAACAAGGGCGAGGTCAAGGGTCAAAGGGTCGTGCTATAGTTTATCATATTTGATGCACAATCTTCAACTTTATATCATTCCCATATATAATGCAGTGATATATATAGGCAGAAACTTTGTTATACATCACAGAATTATCATAAGGGAGACAATTGTTCGAGACCCTCCTGGATTCCGCACACCACACACACACACACACACACACACACACACACACACACACACACACATATATATATATATATATATATATATATATATATATATATATATATATATATATATATATATATATATATATATAATATATATATACAATGTTAGCATGTATCTTTTCCCTGATCCGTCCTCTGGAGCCTTGAGCCTCACCTGGAGCTTCATCTGCGGGATGTGCACCAGCTCCGCCTTCTTCGGCTGGCTGATGACCAGGTCGAACTTGTTTTCATTCTTCAGGACCTTCAGGAGGTTCCTCATGGCCGTGGCGCCGCACTTAAGGATGGGAGTCATGAGCAACAGGTCCTCCCTCGCGGCCCCGGTCACGTTCACGGGCGGGGGAACGGCGAAGGAGGAGGCGACGGCGGGGGCTCCTCGCTCGACCAGCGACAGGGGTTCTTCGGGTCCTGAGACAACGACAAGGCGTTAATAATGCAGCGAGAGAGAGCGCGCCAACTGCCGCAGCTCCGTCGAGGCGTCAGGCGGGGAGGCGACCGCTGGTCTGAGGCTGTGGGGATGGGGGGGGGGGCGCAGGCAGTGGTGAAGGCTCTGTTCTCTAACAAGTTCAAGTTCAATGATGAAAAAGAACAAACTATAGTTCACAATCTCACGAAGGTCGAACTAGAGCGAGCTTTCCTGACCTGTAGGCGGGGCGGTCTGGTCGGGGACGGCAGCATCAGGTGGAGGGAGGCAGGAGGCGGGGATGCAGACGGCCGCCACCAGGTCGCTCACTCTGGGGAGGGAGAGCGAAGTTAAGGGCGGGACGACTGGCAGGGCGGGGAGCATGGGTGGTGGTGAGGGAGACACTAGCAGCTGTAGTAGCAGCAGTAGCAGCTGTATTAGTAGTAGCAATTGTAGTAGTAACAGTAGTTGTAATAGTAGTAGTAGATAGTAATAGTAATAGAAAGAAGTAAATAGTAGCAGAAGGAGAAGCATTAAAGAAATGACAGAAGCAAAAATAGTATCAGTCATATCAGTAGAGGCAGTAGTAGTAGTTGCAACAGCAACATGAACACTAATGATAAATCATATTGAAAAGTGATAATGATGATAATACTAATAACGTCACATGACTGGTGAGAAAAACAGTAATGGTGCTGCAAGACATGGACTGGCAGTTATATTATTAAGAAACAAAACGTGATGATGATGTTGCTGATGAAGATCTCTATAAGAACACCCAGGCAGTAATGAAAACGTTAGTAATGAGAGACAAGTGATAACGAAGATAATAATAAAAAAAAAAAAAAATAATAGTATAACATATAATGATAACGTTGGTATTGGTGACAGTACTATGATGGTGCTTGTAATGATGATGATGATAATTATAATGATAATCATGATGAAGATGATCATGATGATAATGATGAGGATGAGGTTGATGGTAGAAAAAATAATAAACATGATCGCTATGATAGTAATGATAATGACAAATGATGATGATAATGGTAATGATAATGTTAATAGTAATAATAATAATAATAAGGATAATGATGATAATAATAATAATAATGATAATGACAATAATAATGATATTGATGATAAAAAGACGCAAAAGAACATAATAATGATGATGTTAATAGTAAGGATAGTTTTAATGACAATAGTAATAATGTTTTACAATAAAAATAATCATTACCATCATTGTTATTGCTATCATTATCAATATTATCATCATTATCATGATTATAATATATATTATTATCATTACCATTATATTATCATTGTTATTATAATAATGATAATCATAACAACAATAACAATCATAACAACAATAATAATGATAATAACGCTAATAACAATAATAACGATGATAATGATAATAATTACAACAATGATACTAATAGCAATGATGATAACAATAGTAGTAATATCAATGATTATGATAAAAAATGATAATGATATTAATGATAAAAGACGATAATGATATTTTATGATAAAAGATGCTAATGATACCAACAACAGTAATAATGACAATAGTAAAACAACAACAACAACAATAATGATAATGATAATAAACATAATAAACAACAACAATACTACTACTACTAATAATAAAAGTAATAACAGTAACAGTATTATCAGTAATCATGCAAATAGTAATGTTAGTGACTAATAATATCAAGACCACTGATGATAGTAATGATAATAAGAGATGTTAATAATAAACAATGATAATGCAGTGTTAATGATAACAATGGTAATAACAATGATGATAATGGTAATAATAATGATAACAGCAATAACAATAACAGTAATAACTATAATGGCAGTGATAATAAAAATAACAAGAACAACAACGACATCATTATTACACTGGAAAGGAAGGAGACAAACCACCGCTTTATGCGCTGCTGTTCGCCTCGAAACCGTCCACCGCTGGCATTTACAAGTGCTGTAAAATGGATCCCGTGACTTCTTAATAACCTTCCGTGGCACAGAATGGCTTCTTCGGACAGCAGGTGTTAACGGGTCTGTAGCACATCACGTAGGGATTTTAGAGTAAATGATAATCCTGCGCTAGGTGTTCACGAAAGGTTTTGAGAAAGTGATACAGCTTCGGGGGGGGGTTGGCAAGGCCTACTTTCGCCATTGAGAGAGAGAGAGCAGGCTGTCGCAAGGAAACAAATGGAAATAAAATGTATTGTGTCTTTTTCGGTCGAAAGATTTCAGAGAAGACCAAGCAGTAATGAAAACGTTAATAATGATACAGCAAAAGAAACAGAGAGAACGACGATGATATTAGCAACAAAAATATAGTACAGCCGATAATGTTTTATTATATTAGTGACAGTACTACTAAATAATGATGGTGATTATAATGAGGATAATGATGATGGTGGTGGTGATGACGATGATAATAACCAATAAAACATTGACTAGTAATTAAGAAAAGATAATCATTATCTCTATAAATTTTATCATTATCTATTATATATTAAACATTCAACTTACACACACATTATTGTTCATTTCGTTCGCTTTATCTAAATCTCGATACATTGTATTAATCATATTATATTTATCACATCATTGCTCAATTATCATAGTACCACTATGCATCTCTTACATGTACCACATTCATTATCATCTACATTTTAGATTTTACTATTATATGTTAATAAAACCA